GCCCACCCTGCTGCAAGTGATGACACGCACATAAGCCCCGCTCAGACCCTAGCTCCAAGGGAGCAACAGGTGATGAGCCCAAGTGGCGCAGGAGCTGCGGCAACACAGCAGCGTGAGTTGCCTAATGGGGTCACGCGACCCGGTCTGTCAGGTGCTGATGATGAAGAATACCGAAGGGTCCTGGCGGCAGACAGTTTGGCAGCAGCGAGCCGTGGGAATCTGCAAACTGGAATAGGAAGCGGGCAGTCAATGGCAACTACACCAGTGGAAGTACCAGCTGTGATAAATTCGGATACCTATCAACGTGATGTTGGTGGAGCGGGCAGTGCAAGTGAGCAAACTACAGCTACGATGGTACCAGTTCAAAAAACCGAAACTACTCGACCTCTACTACCTCATGCTGCGATAGAACCTGTTAGAACTGCAATGGGCCTGGGACCTTGGTGGCCATCTCCTTTCCCTTCACCATTGTCGAGCACGAACAGGCCTACTGAGACTACAAGCCAGCAGGCGCATGGGAGAAATTTGGCACAGTCCGGAGCTGCAGCAGTTCGATGGTTTACACGTATTGGGGAATATATGAGGCAAGCTACAATGGTTTCCCAGAACAGACCTGGAATTGAGGCAACAGTTGTTCAAGAGACAGTGTGGTCTCCTGGAGGCACTCGTATGGTGCCGGAGGGGGAAACTCCACTTTTCGACAGAACGCAGACTCGTCGCCTTCAAGAAATGACAGATCAAGCGCCACAGCTATACGGCCCTCGTGCTCAGACAGGGGCTGCTTCGGACACGTCGGGTTCGTATTCAAAGGAGCAGTTGGAAGCTGAGGTGAGGAGGCAAGTAGAGCTGGCCTTGAGTTCACAGAAGGGATTGGCTGAGGAGAACCAAAGACTTCGTCTGCAAGTGGAGAGGCTTAGTACAGAGGTCTCGTCGCGTGGAGGAGTCGGACGCCAGCCTAGCACTCTGATGACAATGGGGAGTACAGCTACACGTCATGTCGACGAGCGTGAGAGAAAGGGCGACGAAGCTACGGGCCGTGGAGCGCCGAAGGCAATCAACCTGGACTTTCTGGACATGGGCGTGAGCAAGGGGGCCGATCAAAAGAGCCTCACCGCGAGGCCGAAGCAGGAGGCAATCCACGTGGACATTCGGGACATGAGGGACTTCCAAGAGGTGATGTTTTTGGGGCCCCTGGAGTACCCGAAGGCAATCCACCAGGACTTTCTGGACATGGACGCGGGCAAGGGGGTCTGTTTGAGAAGGCACAGGGACACCAGATTCAGCAGGATGTTACAATGGGTGCACCGTTCGGTTTGAGGTGAATGATGATAACGTACCTGGAGGCAATCCACCCGGACTTTCAGAGTATGGTCACGTACCTCGGGGGCGATATTTAGGAAGTGATAATGTTCCCGGAGGCAATCCACTAGGACTTTCGGGACATGGACGCGAGCAAGGGGGTCGTTTTTTCAGTTTATATCAGCATGCACCGAGTACCTCTGGGTCCTTTTTCAATCAGCATGCACCGAGTACCTCAGGTCCGACTATGACTACCAGCCAGGGCGTCAGACGTGCCAGTAGCTCACCTCCACCACAACGAGCGTATGATGAGACCGCGCAAGAGCCTGGTGTGTCAGATGGGGGTACCGCGCCCATGGATGCTCTGATCAAGGGGATGTCGCAGTTACAAGGAGCTATGGCCTTACAGATGGGACTGGCTGCCAACAAGCCGGAAGTTATCAGACCCGGTGTCTCAGGTGCGGAGCTCCCCAAGCTACAAGAACCCGATGATCAAGCAGCTATAAACATAGGCGATTGGTTACATGGTCTGGCAGGTCCTATGGGGGATTTAACCGACGGCAGTGCTAAATGGTGGGGCGAGGTCATGGTTTCTCTCGACAGGTTTTATCAAGATTATATGGCTGCACCCACAGTTCGCAAGGTGCAACTACGGGCCGAGGACTACCTGTCGCCGGAGCTCAGAGAACCAAAATGGCTGCGTCTAGACAAGAGGGCTGCAAGCATGTTACTTCAGGCGGTACCAGAGGGACTGAAGAATGAATTGCTGGCCAACAGATTGAACACTACGGTTGGAATCCTGGGACGTATATTGGTTATTTACAGGCCAGGTTCGGCGGCTGAGAGACAACAAGTTCTACGTGCGCTAGAAAACCCAGGGAGCTCAGCTACTGCGGCAGACTTGGTGGAAGTTCTCAGGAAGTGGATGCGGTGGTTGAAGCGGGCACAGGACTTGGGACTACAAGTACCGGACCCAAGCATATTGCTACAGGGGCTTGACAGTGCAGCACGACAGATGTTGGACAAGAGCCCGGAGGTTGTGTTTCGAAGCAATATGATGAGGTTCAGTTTGGACTCGGACTCCAACCCCAGCCTCGACAGCATATTAAGGTATCATGGTCACCTGCTGGCCGAGTTCGAGCAGCTATCCTTTCGTGGGAGATCGAAGGGGGCTGGAGGATCTAATCCTGTGGTCAAGAGCCTCACGACGGGGCAGGACGCAAAAGGAGCCTTGGCGAAGTCAAGCAGTTCACCTGGAGGAGGTTCTAGCTCGAAGCCATGCAAGTTCTACTTGTCCGAGACGGGGTGCCAAAGGACGAATTGCAAGTTTCTACATGATTGGCAATCGGTTCCCAAAGAAGATCGCAACAATAAGTGCAAAGGATGTGGCGGCAAAGGTCATATGAAGAAGGACTGCCCTTTGAAGAGTGGCGGCGAAGGAGCACCTCGTGAAGAATCTGGGAAGGGGTCTGGAGCACCTCGTGTCAAGAACCTCAACAACAATGACAAGCGCGAGGAGGGAGCTACACAGGCGCAGGATTCTTCATCTACTTCACCAACCGCTACAACAGGGATGGCCGGAAGCTTGGGCACTCCAACCACTCCCACAATGCCTACCTCAAGTACCACAACGAACCAGAGCAGCGAGGATTTCTTAAAGAGCGCCACCCAAATCTTGAAGCTGATGGCGGAGCAGTCGGGTGCCAGCTCCTCACAGATGCCCTCCATGAAGATGCTGAAGAAAGCGGTATCTGAAATGGAAGCAAGGATGGCTTTGGTGGACTCGGGAGCCACACACCCGCTGAGGCGGGCTCAGGGTCCTGAGTGGGAAAGGTCACCGGAGGTGGACGTGGTTGTGGCTGGAGACTCAGTGGCGAAGATGCGACAGAATGAAACGGGAACCTTGTTGACTTCACCTGGGGCTCTGGGTTCTCAAACAATTCTCCCGGTTGGCAGCTTGGTGAAGCTCCTTGGCTACGAGTTGGTTTGGACAAAAAGGGGATGTACGTTGAGGGCGTCAGACGGACGCGAGATAGCATTGAAAGTGTCTACCGGATGCCCTGAAATCAGCGAAGCTACAGCCTTGGAGCTAATTGCCAAGATCGAGGAGGAGAAGTTGAACCAACTTAAGGAACGGGCGGAGGTTACAAAGTTGGCGATGTTGAGGGCCTGGCGATGTTGAGGGCCAAGAATATCGCACAGGTGGAGCAATGGGAAATGTGCATGAGGGACTATGTGACTCATGGAAAGTTCGAGGACGGCTTCCGGGCGTTGGTTTCCATGCCTTGGTTATGCAATGTTCCGCGTGAGGAGCTGGTGAAGCTTATTATGGAAGTTCCGAACACAGAGAGCGCAGCTTGGGAGTTGATGAAATCTTTGGGGTACAATCGCCGAATGAGGAAGCGGCTGATGCACAAGGACTGGATTATCCGGTTCTACACAGGCAAGCGGACCCCGACGGACAAGATTTTTCGACCACTGGACTCCAACAACTCTGTGGTTCTGGACATTGATGAGCTGCGCAACTCACAATGGGACGTGCTCAAGGAGGGTCGCGGAATCTAGGAGTTAATGTTATGGGGGGCCTCTACGGGAAGAATTGGTGGAGTTATGGCCGGCATACCCAAGGTTAAGTCGACAGAACATCTATTACGGATGATGGCGCTGATCGAGGTCGCTAAGCATGGAAGACAAGAGATGTGCCGTTGTGTTGATATACCTACGGATGGAGTGGCTGTGGCTTTGTGGGCTTCGTCGGAGGTGGAGGACGACCTCAGTGCACAAGCGTTTCAAAAGGAATGGTTCAAGAAGTGGGTGGTGGAGTCTATGATGGACCGGTTATACTTTGAGCAGGGAGCCTTGGGACACCCTTTGAGGAGACCTACGGTGATGACTACCAATATGGATATCACGGAACTTCGAGGCCTTCAAGATGAACGAAGTGAGGAAGCTACGTGGGGATCTTGGTCCACCTGGGCACCTATGATGATGCATGTGTTGGTCAGGGGGTGGAAAAGGTGGAAGTTGAGACCAGGATGGTATCCAAGAATGGTAAAGGAGCTCAAGGCGGTGGACCGCAAGGCATGGGAAAGGCATCTTGCCAATGATCATGTACCTCATCGACCCGATTGTCTTCAGTGCATACACAACTCCACGGGGAGGCCACATCGGAGGTGTCTACATCGGGACTGCTATGTGATGAGTGCGGATACCCTGGGGCCGGTGAGAGTGGCTGGGCCAAAAGGGGAGAAGTATGCCTTGGTTTTCACCTACCAGTACCCGAAACAAAAGCTGGGGACCGAGGACGAGCCCATCGTGGAGGAGGACTTGGTTGGCTGGGACCTAGATGTGGAGACAAAAGCCAAGGAGAAGGACGAGGAAGACTATGATCGAGGCGAACGACGTGGGTGAGGAGGAGATGTCTTTACCAGACCTGGAGGTTTACGACCAAGGGGTGCATGCAGATCAGGAGGAGGACGAAGAGTATGTAGGTGTGCGTGCAGCCAAAAGGAAAGGCCCAGAACCTCCGGAGGATTGGTGGGAGTTCCGAGAGACAGCGGGAGTTCTAATACGACATCATGAAGTACCTCGCAAGGCTTTGTTTCGTCCTACGGCGGCAGCGGGATGTCCGTTGCACCCTGCAAAGTTAAAGGAGACGCGGATCACAGATGTGATGTTGGTGGTGGTGTTGAAACGGAAACGTCGGACTGGCAGGGCCCCAAGTCTGGAGCAAGGAGTTTGGAGAGACCATGGGTTGGAACAACGAGGTTTCGTATATCGGCTGCTGAAGTACCAGAAGATGAACGTGTTCTACAACGTGATGAAGATCAATGGGAGAAGTTGATTGGTGATCTTACCAAGCCAGTGGAGATGGAGACAATATACTTGGTCTACCCGGTGAGATCAAAGCGTGGTGGGGACGCTATGCTGGCAATACAAGAGGCAGTGTTACGCCCCAAGTTGATGGGGCTGCCGGTGGCGAGACTACACACGGACCGGGGCTCTGAGTTTTCGTCTCGAGGACTACATCGATGGCTACTGGACCACGATATCTATCACACTCGAAGCGAGGCCTTGGTTCCACAAACAAATGGAGCAGCCGAGAGAGGAGTTCGATGGTTCAAGACAAGAGCCAAGGTGTTGCTTGCGGAGGCGGATATCCCATTGAAGTATTGGACACTAGCTATGCAACATGCTGCGAATCGTCGGGTACATGAACGTCTGGGAATAACGAAACCAACCCTTTTACCTTTCGGTTGCAATGTGATGATCCGGAGGAAGATCTTTGGGAACAACAAGAAGTACGACCTCACGGACCGGTGGGAACAAGGGAAGTACCTCGGGATGTCGGACTCCATTAAAGGGGGAGCAGTGGTGCTGAGGGAAACGGGAATGCTTACCGAGACGTTGAACTTAAGGACGGGAGTTGTTGATCCTCGAGCACTACTGGCCAGTGGAGAAGATGATGGACGAGGTGTTTTCTATGAAAGGGAAGTTCCTATCATTGACCTTCCAGAAGCTGATTACAGAATACGAGAAAAAGAGTCACCTCCAGCCCTGAGGAACCTGGGGGGGACAGCGGAGGATCACAAGGAAGCAAAGCCTAAGAACGTGATCAGTGGATGGAGGATGAGATCGTTGGTTGAGAAGCAAGAACAAAAGGCCAAGTTGTTCTATGACCAAGGCAAGTTCGATATTGTCTCGTGCGCGGAGGTGTTGGATGAGATGGAGTTGGTGGGAACTATGAAGAACAAAGCCAGGGGGATGCAAACAACGTCTATGATCTTGGGAGCCTATGTACATGGAGGAATGAAAGGGGTTACCAAGGCAGGACGTCGGCGCCCACATCTCACGAGGTACCTCAACATGGTGTTGCGAGCGAAAGTGGCTGAGGACCTGGGGGAGGAGGGAAGTTGGTCTACGATTGGAGTGTTCAAGGCTGCAGACATACCCCCACATCGTGATCTTCGCAATCAAGTGGGATCCTGGAACTACGTGGTGGAGATTGGGACCAGGTCTAAAGGAGGTCTGTGGGTGGCAGATGGAAAAACGGAACCTTCAATCAAGGGCGGACAGGACCTACAATCTATGGTTCGGGAGCAGCCTGATGGGAAGTTTGTGGAGGGCAAGCTGGTGGATATTGGAGGAAAAATGGTTGCCTTCAATGCAAAGGAGTTGCATGCCTACCTCAATGTGGAGCCAGACAGATGGGTTGTGGCAGCGTTTCCACCACTGGGAGCTTCTACAGTGAATGCTAATGCCGCGGCCTACTTGCTACAATGTGGTTTTCCGTTGCAGGGAACGGGAATTGATGCGGTGCCGATGTCGGACGCGGAGTTCGAAGAGGGCAGTTCGTCTTCTTCGGAGATGGAGGATGAGGTTAACCTGGAAAGGCGAGTTCGTGTTCTTCGGTGTGTGATGGAACAGGAGATGGATACTACAACGGGGTTCTATGACAAGGTGGAGACTGAGCTTGAAGAGGACAAGCGCGACTACAGGAACGAGATGGTGCCGAGCTACGACGGATTGCTAAAGTTTCTCCTGGGGAAGCCGCGGACTATGAAGTGGAAAAGATATTGGGGGACTTGGCTGGGCCGTTGGAGGTGGTACATAATGTCGGCACGTCGTTACATTGATCGATGGCGCGGTGCCATCATGAAAGAAGTGGATGCTCTTGTCAACAGTGGCACGGTCAGGCGACTTGCCGCAGAGCAAACTCGAGAGCTAAAGGCCCAGGGGATGGTTATTCTACCGGGCAAGGCTGTATTCACAGCCAAACCGCCAAGCGACCAGAACAACGAGAATGAGAAGTACCGAAGGAAATGCCGGATAGTGGTATGTGGGAATTACCTACCGAGTGACAAGGCGAACGTCTACGCTTCAGGAACGTCTGCAGATGGGCTACGTGTATCAGTTTCATATGCAGTGGTCAAAAGGTGGCGAGCTGGAGCAACGGACATATCTAACGCCTTTACACTGGCCCCTATGCCGGAAGACAAGTTGTTTGGGATCACCCCACCTTCTGTGGTGGTTGCTGCAGGAGGAGCAGACAGTGGCGAAACATGGTCCTATATGGCCTAAGGGAGGCCGCCCGGTGGTGGGGGGTTTTCCGAAATGGGCGACTTACCCAGGCTCGTATTCCCTTTGAGGGCGACTTCATTATCTTTGAGTGTTTAGAGACAGAGGAGAATGTTTGGCGCATCCTCTTCGAGGGGTGCGACGAGATCAAAGGGATCCTACTGACCTACGTGGACGACTTGTTATTGCTATCCACCACCCAGATCATCAAGACCGTCTACCAATGGCTTACAGAAGAATGGAAGTGCTCACCGCTACAGTGGATGGACGAGGAACACTTGAGGTTTTTTGGGTGTGGAACTGCGGCCAATGGGAAATGGGATTCATGTTTCGCAATCTGGCTATATTCGTGATCTCTTACTACGTCAACATGGAGTACCAGAGAAGCCTGGAAGTTTGACGGTGCCGTGCGCAAGAGAATGGCTACAAGACCCAGACTCCGAGGAAGAAGAAGATCGGAATGTGGAGGAAGCCATGGTGAGGCTTGCTCAAAACGCCACTGGAGAAATCCTTTGGTTATCTACCCGGTCTAGACCGGAGCTGGCGCATCCGGTAGCGTGCATGGCATCGAGGGCTTTGAGGAATCCTACCAAGACATTGGAGATTGCGAAGAGGGTCATGACCTACCTCTCGAACACGGCGGAATATGGACTGCACTATGTCAGAGATGAGGAGGAGTCCTTATTAACAGTTTATTCAGACGCTTCGTATGCGCCTGGCGGCGGGCGTTCCTTTGGGTGCGTCATGGCACAAGTGGCTGGGATGCCGGTTTGCTGGCGAGCGTCGAAACAACCTATAATTACATTGTCGGTCGCGGAGGCGGAGCTCTACGAGGCCGTAAGCTCTGTTCAGCTTGGACTTGGAGTTCTGGCAATGTTGAATGAGTTGGGCGAGAAGCCGGTGATGCGGTTGAAGATTGACAATGCAGCTGCCCAAGGTCTAGCTACTGAATCACCCGGTAGTTGGAAGACAAGGCACCTACGGCTACGTGCGAGGTTTCTTCGCCAAGAAGTCGCGGCTCAGCGGCTTATTATTCTACATGTGCCAGGAGACCAGCAGAAGGCTGACCTAGGGACGAAAAGTTTCGACGTGCCGAAGTTTCGTTCGCTCCTGGGTTTATGGAGACTTATTGAGTTTCAGGCGGTGGAGGAGACGATCGTGAAGACGGTAAAGAAGCTCAACAACAAGAGTATTTTGATGTTTGCAATGGTGTGCTTTATGATGGTGCAAGGTGCCCGTGCAAGTACGAAGGAGGATTTACCTCTGGATGGCTCAGTGGAGTTCTACGTGATCACAGTCTTGTGTATGGTGGCTTGTGTGGCTGTATGGGAGGTGCTGAAGAGATTGGCTAATGGGGCCAACTGGTGGTGGGCTTCATGGCAAAAGAAGAAGAAGAAGAGGCTGGAACGGCTTAGGACAAAGGCCGAGGCAGCTGTCAAGAACGAGTTACAGAGGAGAGCTGATCAAAGCACACCTACCTACGGTTCCACCACACCTACCGGGGGAATGTCTACCGGTGTGGAATCCTACACGCCGCCTCGGAGAGCAGCGATGCGCAGGACAAGTCCTCCACCTACGCGAACCTCGATGCCTACAACCAGGACCACAGCGACCCAAACGGAAGTACCGTATCAAGGACCACAGTGGATAGATTCCAGGAGATTGGAGGGCTTTGATGGACCCTTCTACGCAACTCCTCATGGGGACTGCATTCATACGATCGCCGGATGCCATGGGCAGAGGAACACGACGGGACCACCAAGGACATTCCGTCTTTGCCGATATTGTGACCGGGATCGACCGCTCATGCTTGTTGGTCCACCCCTAGGCTAAAGCCAAGGAGTGAGGAGGAGTGTTGAGCGTTCAATCTGAGGACGCTTGTAAATGCTGAAACAGCTGGGAGTAACTATGACTCTCACGTTCCTTGCCAAAGAAGGGAGTAACTATGACTCTCTTAAGTCGAAGATGAGATGCATGTAAAGCTGTGCAGACGCATCGTACTTTCGGCAATCATACATGGCTCAAGTGTGAAAAAGTTCGAGATGTAGGGTGCGGTAGCTCTTTCGTAAAGATTAGCATGGCCCACCCTGCTGCAAGTGATGACACACACATAAGCCCCGCTCAGACCCTAGCTCCAAGGGAGCAACAGGTTTAGGGTTTAGGGTAGGGTTCCTTATTATGATTTCCTTTTATAAGTCCTGAAAAAGGGTAGGTTCTTTGGGGTTAAGATAGGGTCCAGGGCTTAGGGTTTAAAGCAATCTGCTGATGATATACATCCTTAGCATTGCCCTAAGGACCCTAAAAACCCTGGGAATTTATGGTATATTCCTTATTTACGGGCATAATGCAGGATTTCTACCATCAACCGTAGGTTTTGCACTTTGTTCTCTTTGGGTTCCCTTATTACAACCCCAATGGTAGGAAAAGGGGTACCCCAACCGTATAAATCCTGCATGACCCATAACAACAAATATACCATAATTTCCATAGTTTAGGGTCCTTAAGGTAATGCTGAGGATTTATATCATCAACCGTGTTAAAGGGATACTGGGAGCCCCGGAAAGTTATTAGAGGGCCTTGAGACCGAAAAACTCGTCAGGGTTTTGGTGTTTACGAGTTGAGGGTTGAGGGGATTTACGGGTTTTGGCGGTTTAGGGTTTGAGGTTTAGGGGTTTAGGGTTCAGGGGTTTAGGGTTTGAGGTTTAGGGTTTAGGGGTTTGGGGTTTAGGGTTTAGGGCTTTAGGGCTCAACCCTAAACCCTAAACCTTCCTGGGAGGTGCACTGGGACCTGGCAAGTGATCTCAAAGGCCTTGACAAGGCCTCCACCGCAGGGGGAGGGTCGAGAAATTAGGGCTTGTAACTTACCGCTGAACTTTCGTTTTCGGGTACCTACCCGTGTACATATTTGTGTAGTTCTCTAAATTAGGGGTCCCCCAAAAATCCCTAAAAGGGACCCTAATTTAGAGAACTACCCCTATAAGGTGTAGATCAAGGCGAGGCTGTTAAGGATTACACACCTGCTAGCACTACCAGTAGTGTTTGAAGCGCCGCAAGTCGCTGCACGGCAGGGTTATGTAACGTAGCCAGGCCTAAACATGGTTGAAACGAGGTTTTGACATGCAGGTTGTATTTCCGGTCGACAGAAGCGCCGTGCTTCGTGGATCATGCTTGACTTTCTATCCTGTAAATGCCTTTGGCGCTGACGGGGACACAAGGAAGGCTTTCAACCTGTAGTGTTTGCATGCAAGAATCCTTGTATAGAAGCCTACAGAAAGACCTATAGAACCCTTTCCCAGGCTCCTGAACGTCCAAGTCGCATCCCTTTGATCTTGCAAGCTTGGGTGTTCAGCGGAACACCTTTTAGGGTTCAGGGTTCTTGGGGACCCTCTGTAAGCCCAAATAGCGGTTGAGCTCGAGCGTCCAAGGTTGCAGGCAAGACAAGCCTCCGCCCTTAGTTACGATCAGAGAAAACCTTAATTAAACCCTAAACCCTAAACCCCTAAACCCTAAACCGTAGACTCGAAACCCTAAACCCTAAGCCCTAAACCCCTAAACCCTAAAACCTAAACCCTAAACTCCTAAACCCTAAACCGGTAGGTTTTTGGATCCCCAGGTAGGGTTCAGGGCACTCGCAGGATGACCGGGCCATGAACGATGAAGCTTTCCGGAGCTTGGAGGACGGAATATTTCTGAGGTGTGAAAATCCCAAACCTTCAAGCCTAGAGTGAGCTGAAGACTATAGCTATAGAGGGCCGACGGGACTTCTGTTTTTTTTTTCGATGGGCTTCGTAGTATGACTTGATGTGTGGCCATTTGTATGTAGCAGATGCGCAGCCAGATGTCCTTAGAACATCTGCATCCCTACTAGGCGAAACTCGCCGGTCAGGAAAAGAAGCATGTGTATACATGTGTAAATCGGTCATTCGACACAGAATTTCAGACATGCACAGATCAAGCAGATGTATATGCAGCGCATAAATCAAGTAAACCGAACCCTAAACCCTAAACCGTAAACCCAACCCTCGCACTTGTCGTTGTAGCCCTGCAGGCCGTAGGAGCATTACGACCATGACTGTTGTCTTGTTCGGTGCAGTTTGACATCCTGGTAGTTGTAGGCTTACTTCCTGTTTGTGCCGGGGTCGAAGATGTTGAATGCAGGGGTGGGAATGATTAGTTTCAGTGTTTACTTTAGCTCTTTTGCAAAAGGTGACCATGCTATATACCCCCCAAGGCCTTTTCGAATTGTCACGGCCCTACATGGGATTTGAAGCTGTCGGCTGCTTTCGGCCTAGGTTTGGGAGTTGGAACCTCTGTCGTGGCTCTATATCAGTAGCGCTACGCCGCTGAGTAGTACCTTGTTTACCCTGTGTATCTTGAGTATGCCTAGTCAGACTGGAACAGTACCTTCCGCAAGAATGAGGCCCGTGTTTCTCGGGGGTCACTGGGCAACCTAGACTGTCCTCTCTACAAAACCCTAACCCTTAATCTGCCCGAAACTCGCACCCCTAAGCCCCAGATATCCTAACTCCCAAATCCCTACGCCCCCAAGCCCTTGAGCCCAAAACCCGAAACTCCAAAACGGGGGTGACGACAGGAGCATTGTGCCAGTCCATTGCCAGGGTCTCGGACGACAGCCCATCAGCTCCGATACCCCGCCGGTTTTGCGCCCTAAGCCCTAAACCCCTAAACGCCTAAACCCTAAACCCTGGGGTTCAGACGAATTGAATAGGGCTCTATACCTAAGAGCTTAGGGTTTTAAAGGTTTTAAGGGTTCCTTTACATAAACGCTACTAGAACCCTAAGCCCTCCATATAAAGGTCCCTTTATAAACATTACCATAGGACCCTAAATCCTACACCCCTAAACCCCTAAACCCTAAACCCTAAACCCGAAGCCGATCTTGTTCACACTCTGCACTCAGTACATTGCAGGGTCGAAGGCAGTTGGCCCGACACACTAGTCTCCCCAAGTCATATAAACCCCAAGGCCTAGAGCCTAAACCC